TGCAGACCCCACACACAGAGGACATGCAGACCCCACACACAGAGGACATGCAGGCCCCACACACAGAGGACATGCAGGCCCCACACACAGAGGACATGCAGGCCCCACACACACAGAGGGAACGCAGCATGCACGTGGCATGTCGTGTATATGTAGGTCGGATCATTTTACCAAACAACACTGCTCTGATCACTTTGAATAACATTTATCTGCAGTTTCAGTCCTTAGCAGAATGTCTATGTGTCTGTGGCAGAACAATAACCAAATGCGCTCTCAATTGCTATTATTACTTGATAACAGAAAGAGGTTTTACACATTGATCTGGAGAAATGATAACTTTTCCCTAGAATAAATGTAACAGCCAATTATCTCTATTATTTCAAATACATCATGTTCCCTATCATGATATTTAAGTAGTTTTAAAACAAATGAAGATTTGGGATGGAGATTTGGGATGTCCACTCTGCACAACTAATCAAACCTGACTAAACAAGTTTAATTCAGAAGTAAAAATATCCCATCGCTTCATAATGGGATATACAGCAAGAATCTCCCAGTGGAACCAGTGTTAAAACTGGGTGTGTGAGTGGATAATAATCTAAATTACAGCGCTTATGGGTTTAAATGATGCCACCCACGCAATCTGTGGCTCCCTAATCACTTTTCTCATTGACGCAAATTTGTGAGACGCTTCCGTTTCCGACATGTCAGTCTAGACTTCCACAAATAAAGGCTATGCCTCATTTGCTTTTGCTTTTTTTCACAAAAACAAATGCCTTTGACCAGGTGCAGTCCTTTCAGTGAACTGATACTGTAATACTTGTATTGACACCTCTTTGCAACACAGCATGCAATCCTAGTCCATGACGTTTTATACTGGCATGTCATAGATATGCTATTGTATTCATGGGTTTAATGTCATATAGAAATGTCTGAGAAAATCTGATTGGTTCAATGAATGGTGTCACATGACACATTGGTGTCAGAGTAGATCAAGTGTTAATGGAGGGCTTGGGACAGCAAAGACACCACACCTTTATAAGGAGAGAGCCAGGCTCAACACGAAAGAAGGTCTGGGCTAGGGTCACTGGAGAAACACATGCACAGGACAGGAAAAAATAATGACAGACAATGAGGGAGAGAAAGAACAAATCAGTATGAGCAAGTCATGTGACTATCTTACCCAAGATAGTCCACACCCACTTCCAGTGATGTGAGATTACCATTGATTTCAAAGGTTTCCAAATTTCCATATTAACTTGAAAATGTCATTGGTGATCTCCCTCAAAGATTCCATCTATATGTTGTTCAATACTGCAAGTGTGCGTCTTTGTTCTTAGCGAGAATTACCCCGCTTTTTATTTTGTTTCAGGGTTGCTGAAGGCAATGGAGAATTTTTTGAGCGCATGAAGAACATTATCCAGAAGCAAGACAACATGCAGCGTGCCTGTCAGGCCTGGGTAATCCAAGACCTCCATAGATGACCTGAAAATTAGATACGCAGCACGATCGTGTGCCTGTGAACACGGCATATGCGAGTCTGGCTGTTCGGCAACTACAGGGATCTCACAGTGACAAGAAGAGGATGTTAATGTCTGCATAGATCTGTCTCAGTGACTGTCCCGTGTTTTCTGACATTTCAGTAATGGCATAGTATTTTATTTTAGTATGTTACATGTGGTACTGGTTTATTTATTTACAATGTTTTTTACAATATCTGCTTTCTCTCATGGGTTAAACGGGCTAAGTTAGGAGTTGTGTTGATGTGCTTCTGAAAAGTGAGGTCAGTAAAGCACACGGGTAGAAGAGCCTGATGGTAGCTTAATGCAAAGGTTCTCATCTATTACAGGGCAAAGGGGAGAGTGGAAGTCCTCCCCCCGCAGAGCCTGTGCAGCCAGCCTGCGTTCCGGATCGAGCAAACAGGAGAGAGGTGAGCACAGCGGGAGGAAATGGGGGCTTTATTCAGGCCAAACAAAGCTGGGGAATACAACACAAAACAATGCTTTGTCATCAATTGAGTTAGGAAGTAAGATAGACAAAATATTTGATCAGATGGCAATTTTGTGCTATAATGTCAAACGTGTATGTGAGCATACATAGATGTGTGCAGACATGTATGTGTGTGGATGTACATGCATGTAGATTTTCAGGTATGTCTGCGTGTCTGTTGCTTGAGGTTCCACCTTTGTTTTGCAGCTGGACCTTTTATATGAAGAAGTTGCGTACACTGTTGTGAACAGGGTCGGTATGCCCTCTCCAGACCACGTTACCAACGAAGAAGAGATTTTCAGCTATCTGCAGCGGGTACACCTCTTAGCTTTGTTCCCTTCTTTCCTACCACAGTGAGAGACCTTTCATTATAGCTTAAACATAGGATCCTAGACGAAAAACATCCTGTTCTCTGCAAAGCCCCAATAAAATATTAAGAATTCCCTAATCACAACACAAATCGAATGCTCATTGCAATCAGTTTTAGCCTGCAAGCTTGATCTTCCGCTTCAACAAAGTGGCGATGAGAGGAAGGAAGCTGGCCTCACTCTGAGGCAGGTGTGATTAGAGGCACTGCTCTAGGAGTAAATTATAGATAACAAAGTGGCGATGAGAGGAAAAGAGCTAGCCTCACTCTGAGGCAGGTGTGATTAGAGGCACTGCTCTAGGAGTAAATGATAGATAACAAAGTGGGGATGAGAGGAAGGGCCTCACTCTGAGGCAGGTGTGATTAGAGGCACTGCTCTAGGAGTAAATGATAGATAACAAAGTGGGGATGAGAGGAAGGGAGCTGGCCTCACTCTGAGGCAGGTGTGATTAGAGGCACTGCTCTAGGAGTAAATGATAGATAACAAAGTGGGGTTGAGAGGAAGGGAGCTGGCCTCACTCTGAGGCAGGTGTGATTAGAGGCACTGCTCTAGGAGTAAATGATAGATAACAAAGTGGGGTTGAGAGGAAGGGAGCTGGCCTCACTCTGAGGCAGGTGTGATTAGAGGCACTGCTCTAGGAGTAAATGATAGATTATATCCAGGGCTGGGAAGCCTTTGAGGTTCAGGTTGTGTTTATCGGTGGCGTTTAGTCACATTCTACATTCTACAAGCTGGATGAGTAGCAGCCAGCAGACGCAGGCTTTGCCGTTTATCGCTGCCACGAGAGCCAGCGGTTAACAGCTCCCTTTCTGGCGAGCGCGTCAAAGCCGTCACTGACTTTCTGCTCGTCTTCCAGGCATTTGATATGGGAGCAGAGGAGCATGATATCATTCTACACAGGGTCAGAGAAGCCAAGGTAAGACTTTGGTCCGATCACATTTCCTCTGCCTCATTTCTTGTGTTATAACCAAGTTCGACAAGAAAGAAAAACACAGATTCTCAGCAAACAGCACAACGGTGCCGACCTGTAGATTTAGACGTGATTATTTGCAGTTTAATTTAATGGGGCTGTTTTAAGTTAAACACATTCTGGCATCAGTTAAAATGTTCATTCAGTCAGAAGGACAATAAAAGCAGCTCTTATTTTGGGCAAACAGTTATCGATAACATCGGATTAGTCTTTATCCACACTAGGAGAGAAGTCTTTGCAAGGCGGGTTTTTCCACAGCTCCTTGTCTTTTATGTAGTGACAAGGAAACCTCTCTGTGTTCCAAATGTCAGTCTGAAAGAAAACTCACTCCCCTCCAGCAGCTGCCCTGAAAAGCTTCTCAATACACGGAAATATTGTGCCATTTAAATGTTCCACACAATGTTGTTAACCTTCACAAGCACAGCAAGTCTGATTTCACTTTGGCTGCACACAAAAGCACTTGCACTGCATCACTCGCTAAAAAGCACTTGCTGGGTGGCGACGTGGCCCTTATTCACGAGTGCGCACACTACGCCTGCTCCGTGCTTTGGAGGCATCAGTTTGATTACAGTCAAGGTTCAGCTCTGTTCTGACTTTCTCTCCACAGAGGGCAAATTTCGCCTTACGGGTGTCTGTCATGAAAGGAAAAAACCTACTTGCTAAAGATGCTAATGGTGAGATATTTTCAGCCATCACCTTCATTTCAGTCGAAACAAAAGCAATTATAATGTTCAATGCATGGATGCTTTATCAGAATGTGGAAATGTAAGCATGATGATGCACTTTGGCTTCCCCATATCCTTTGTTGTTAATGATACAATAAGGGCAGGACAGGAGTGGACTGAATCACGGTGACCTCGCTCATCACTCTGAGCTGTTCCTGTGCTGCCATGTGCTGACAGATGACTGACATTTCAATCTGTCTGCTTTAATAAGCACAACACGTCCTCTATGGGATTTGTTGTTAATGAATATTTAATATGAGCATATGAATAAACTTTGACTTGTTCTTTTTACCCAACTGAACACTCAGAATATGAAATTAAGGGGAAGCACTGGACTAAAATCTCTGAAGGAATGAAAGAAGCGAACTGGCCCTCCGTGGTGGGGACTATAACTATGAGACAAGTGTGATCACAGTGTTGTTCTTTAATTTGTTTGTCTCTTATTTTGATGCGCTGTGTTGGGAACTGGGCGTAATGAGATGGTTAAATCTTTAAATGGCAGGTTACAGTGACCCCTACTGCATGCTGGGGATTCTGTTGGGCCAAAGCCCCAGAGAAACTGAGGAGAGGAAGGAGAGGAAATTCAGCTTCCGCAAGAAGAAGGAGAAGGTGGAGAAGCGGCCCAGTGTCCGGGAAGTGCTGGCAGCCCGGAGCATCCAGGTCACGGACGTCAAACCAGAAACCCTCAACCCCGTTTGGAATGAACATTTTGTCTTGTAAGTGCCATTCTTGTCGTTTTATGTGTTACACCTCTCCTAGCTGAACCCACTTCATGTTCCCCAAATGCGCTCAGTCTTACACTTTTGCTGTTTTAAATAGTTGTCTTATTAGCTGCTTTCTTCGTCCGATGTTGCTGTGTAGCTCCTGCTCGGATGCTGCTGACCCTGTACCTGGGTACTCACTGGTGGCTCAGCCTAGCCACAGCTACGCCTAGTC